CAAAACTGATTACGTAATTTCATGTAAAAAATATCATGGCAAAAAAATTCACATGATCATATGAAATGTCGAATAACCTACTTTATCACCAAAGTTACCAAAATATATTTCAGCTGTGCATTTTTTTTTCGTTTTTTTTTTTTTTTTTGACGAGTTAAATCCGGTATAAGATTTAGTACTTCTTTTAATCCTTTTGTTTTACTTTCACACCATAAAAATTTATTTCATTAATACATATCAAATCATAAATTATTAAAAATCCAAGCAAGCGAGTGTAATAAACCAAATTTTATAATTTATACTATTTTTCAAAAATAATTTGTATTCGGAATATTAAATAAAAATATATTTAATGTCTTAAAAAAACTCTAACTTTGATCTAAATTAAATCCTAAAATCTAATATTTGAGAGTAAAATCTTATTTACTGATTAATTAATTTCATCTTCAGTAATTTCTAAAAATAAATTCTACAAATTAATATAATTATGTAATATAAATTCAATAAAATTTGACTTTTATTATTTACCTCGTATTTTTTTTAAAATTCGTTGTGATAATTGGTAGGTGATCCATTACGCAATATAGTCGTTGACGTAGGACTACCGCTACCTTCTTTTGGATTGAATTTTTGTATGATAATATTAGCATACGAATAATTATCACAGGAAACAATATAAGTACCGCCGTTGCTTTTTTTAACAAAACGCTCCATTTTTGTCATATCAGTGTTCATTTTACGAGAACATGAAAAACAATTCTCACAATCTCCAGGTCCACCTAACATATTTGCAATCCCATGACACTGTTCATCTCCCTCTCGAGCACAATGACAAGAAGGACCGATTTTACTTCCTTTTGTATCAAATTTGTCAGCTTCAATTTTAAAAAAACAATCACTTTGTAAAATGACAAGGTTACTATTTTTATTATTCTTCCAATTTATTTTTCGTGGACAATCCCCGTTTTTAAAAGGGCATGTTCTTATGTTATGTTTCTCTTTTCCACAGCAACTACATGCGCCATTAACTGAAGGAATAATAACAAAAATCACTAAAAACAGAAGCAGAACTATCTTCTTGAAAATTATAGCTGAATAAGGTGCGACCATCTTATGTTACTTGCCGGCGAAAATAAGATGTTTTTTGTCTTGCCAATGGTTTCAGGTGAAATCTACATTATGTTAATGCAAAATCTTTAAAAAATAATAACAATCATTATTAAAATTTAAGATATTTACTTAATTATATATAAGTAGTGTTTTTTTTGTCTATTAACAACGTCAAGATAAAAACAAGACTAAGTGAAATTACATTTCACAAAAATGGCTTATGAGTAAAATTCAACTACTGTTGCATTAGGAATGGGGGCACAGGAAAATTTGGGCATGCCCGAAGGGGCATGCTTATCAAAGTTACGTTAAATCCTTTTATATCATTACTTAAAATTCGAAAAGGAAAAATTGTTAGTAAACAAAATTTTTACTTTAACGTAATTTTAATAGAAATATGCTTAAAATAGTTTTATGCTAAAGCATTCAATACATAAAAAGTAAATAAAGTTCGTCCTTAACATCTAAAAATGTTTATAATAGTCATTTGTATAAAACATCTTGATCATTAAAGTAACGGGAGGTATAATGGCGCACCGAAAATAACTCAAGAAAACAGGATTTTTTACTAAGCAAACCTAACTTCATCCACTAAATAAAGTTATT